TAAGCCCCTCCAAATGTAAGCCCCCCCAAACCGGTAAAGCAAAAAACCTTCCGCTAAATCGCCCCTCCAAATATAAGCCCCCCGGGGGCTTGTACTTGGAAAACTGACCTCAAATACAAAGTAAAACAAGGAAAAAACGGTAATTTCACTTTCAACTATAAGGCTAGCCCAATCGATTTTGAAGGCAAATTTCCCTCCGTAGATAAGCCCCTCCGAATATAAGCCCCTTTTTGAGGGGTTTATGATAAGCCCCTCAAAAAGGGCCTTTGAAAAATATAATCCCCGGGGCTAATTTTCGGAATTTTACGGTATATGTAATGTATATAAACAATAAACAAAATTTCAGGAGTCGCATTTACCAAAACTGGTATTAAAAAGATGGGTTTGACGAAAAAGAACATGCATTTCTCTCTGGAACATTCTTTTTCAGGTCATCCCGTTTTTCCGGCGCCTGGAAAGTTTCCACTGAATTATGCGTGATCCAAAGCGGTCCCGAAAAGTTCCATACTGGTGTTCCATTTACTTTCTAACCGGAAATGTTCAAAAACTGCGCGTTACCCATATTGAATCGTTCTCTTTTTTTCCTGTTTGGGTATATTTTACAATAGGTGACAAACGTTTTATTTATGTTTCTGTTACGGGGTGTATCGGTAAACTAGTCACATGATCAATTGTATAAAACACTTGTGAATCATTAAAGAAGTCACTTTTAGTGCGAAGTCCACAACTAGCAGTAAAGGGATAGAAGACGGTAAGTTAGTCATATTAGTCGGTTCATTCCTTTGTAAGTATAATTTATTACTTCTCTGTTGTTTGTGATTATTTGGTCGATCACTTTATCATTATCGGTGAAAGCAAACATATCGAAAACGAGCTGAATCAATGTTAGAAAAGATACTGCCAAACATAACGTCGGAGCCTTTATTTCGCTGCTCGATATTGCCAGAGGTGCCTCATCATGATGAAAACGGTATAAATCTCGACATGAAAAAGAAGTTTGTTGTAACGGTTAATTGAGCATCGACACAGAAGATGCAACCTGGCAAGTCTAAGAAGTTTCAAGGAACGCAAAGTGGAGAATGCACTTTGAAATAGTTTAGTTGTTATTTCTACTATTGTGGCACAACTTTCTCTTGAGGGAGAATTGATTGTCATTCGACATTAAAGAGCGTACATCTTTAGTCTATCTTTAGCTATTGATCACAGATGCCAAAGCATATTAAGCAAGAATCCGAACTGCCTTTTGAATTTGACTATTTAACGCCCCGGCAGTAATCATGAGTACATCAAGAAAGTTGGAAAGCGCGCCCATTTGACGAGAGAAGCCGTTTAAAACTTGTTCTTTGAGGGCTATTTCTCTCAGAGTATAGAGCACAAATGATTCAGTAATATAATATAGGCTCAAACAATATAATCAGTGTGGGTGTAGATTGGACTCAACATTGGTTCTCTAGATTGCCAAAAAACGCTTCTCGATCGCAAGAATCTTTTACTCTGTGATACACCTGATTTCTTCACTGAGTTGACGTCGAAAGAGAAAGCCCCGTTTACGACTCTTGATGACGAATTAGTTCGTCTCTTTTTCTTGCAGAGTCAGTCTTATTTTTCTTGGTCGGCGAAGCATTACACCAGCGAAACTTGTTCAGCAACTTCAAGAATCATTTCCTTAGAGAAAGGTCAACATGAGCTCTAGTTCAGCTCTCTGGTTATTGCTTCTTTGGGGTAAGTTGAAAGCATTGCACGTGACTTGGTGTTGTTTTGTGTTTGCCAATTTTTCTGGGCTAAGACTAAACTGGATTAAAGTAAGTGTTCCCCTAGTGTCGAGGAAGTTAAGGCGTGATCCCTACTTAGTATTTCCGATCAGCTTCAGTCTTTTAAACAAACAATGGAAAATAGATATTGAAAAAATGAAACTATATGTTCACTTAAAGGCTGTTAAGGCCGGATGCATGATGCCATTTAACGGCACAGACCAGGACTGTCTAAATCTTATCCTTTAGTGAGTCCTTTATTTTATTAAAAAAATATTGTCTTATCATATTCAAAATACTACTTTGACTTCTTATCTCCAGAGGACATTGCATCCTTGCACAGTGGAAACAATTTCTATCAATTGCCAATCTTCCAACGTCTGTTAGGGGCATGTCGAAAACATCCCTAAGTCCCTTTCTTACTGCCTTCTCGGTCTTGCTCTTTCTCTTTTCCCTACTGTGCTTCAATAAAAGGAANCTGTTAAGGCCGGATGCATGATGCCATTTAACGGCACAGACCAGGACTGTCTAAATCTTATCCTTTAGTGAGTCCTTTATTTTATTAAAAAAATATTGTCTTATCATTTTCAAAATACTACTTTGACTTCTTATCTCCAGAGGACATTGCATCCTTGCACAGTGGAAACAATTTCTATCAATTGCCAATCTTCCAACGTCTGTTAGGGGCATGTCGAAAACATCCCTAAGTCCCTTTCTTACTGCCTTCTCGGTCTTGCTCTTTCTCTTTTCCCTACTGTGCTTCAATAAAAGGAACACTGAACAGGTGCCCCTCTGGTCCCTTTAGACTGCATAAGCGCTAAACGGAAATGTGCAGCGCCAAAGGGTATGGTCGTTTTACTGCATTTTGGGCCTGAAAAGGGTATATATCTTCGCCACCCTTCCTCTCGCCCCCTAAATTTCCCAGTGATACTCTCCCAGACCTCTGTACAGCTTCAGTTATGCCTGCATATCGGATTTGGCCAAGCTACTTAAATGCAAATTAATTAAACAACATAATCATTTGACCGTTGACAACGTAATCATGGGTTAAACTAGTACTCCAATTTCACACCTTAACGAGAAACTATTATCGGGAAATTCGTGTTGTGGGTAACCTAAAGCTAATTTTAGCCAACCAACTCATTTTGTTTCGATACATTGCCGGAGTCACAATGGGATATATTTTGTTATATCGATAGGAAAAACCCTCTTTAGTGATATTGCATCCGCCATCAGCCACCCTCAGATGAAAACTTAAAAACATAAGGGGAGAGTATAAGTCTTCCCTTTCATTTAAGCCGGAAACTATAAATATCCGTTGAAATTCTTTGAACGAAAGGAACAAAAATGGGAAGTGAACCAGAAGATCTTTTGCCTCGGGCAAAGATCACGCAAACGGATATGAAAGTGCTTTCGCTTTAATAAGGCTGATCTTTGCTTCGTTAGCACAATATTTTCAAGATCTTATGGACACAGTTTTTAAGTTATTCAGTCTAAAAGTCTATGTCTCTCTGTGAATTTACAAAAAAAAGTATTACATGGAAATGGCTTGATCGACAAGGAAGGCTTCAGACAGTGGGCTTCGTGAATCCGATCTTGGCGGGCCATTTGTGTCCAAGTGAAAGCGATAACTATTAATAGCAAAAGTGAACGCAAGGCTGGCAATACGGCAAAGGGCTGATTCATTTAAGGCTTATATTTCGGCTAACAAATTTAGCCTTCCTCAGGGCCAGAGCTACACTGAAAAAGAATACTATAATGGCTCCTAAAATTTGAAAGGTTAATGATCTATTAAAACTGACATACTGAAAATGAGAACAATAGATATCATGATAGATAGGTAAATAATTATACGATAAAATGATCGATGCAGTTCAAGTGACGTCTGGCATTAGCATCCCTACATAAGAGATCCGACAAAAAAGAACCAGTCGGCTTTTTTACGCGTTAAGTGGACCTCTGCATTCAAGAGTTTTTATCAATAGCAGCCCTTTGCGTGACTAGTCTGATTAGTTTAAAAGTTTTGTATATGAGAAGAAACGTGTCGCTTTGCACTGTAACTTGCCGAGAATAGGTTATGTTAAAGGACTACTGACTACTAATTATCCTCGGGTCACTTCCAGTACCTAGTGCCGGTCTAAAACAGTGTGGACGAAATTACTTGTTATTTCAGATAAGGACGCTCTGAAGCAGAGGGTTGTTTGTTTAAAGTGATTTATACTGAAAGCTGTCCAAATAATAAGCTGATAACTGTCGGAGACTCGCGAAGGCAGACTAAAGCCGTTGACAGTTCACATGGTATTAAAGAAAGTTAGTATACCAACTTGTTTCAAATTAGCTTTTTTTTTCATATAAAATAATCAAATTTAGCAAATTCAGCACGAAACAGGTTTCTAACGTGGTAAAGAAGCAATTCCAATGTTTAGTAATGTTAATATGATATGTCTATTTTAAAAAGTATATGACATATATTGGTTTGCCTGTGAAAGTGAAAGTGTTACGAGTTTCGTTTAATTGCTATTTTATGCTCTCCCAACAGGAAATTTGCTTCATTACACATCAGGTAGGAATGATGTTTTACATGTTTCGAGCGCCGACTACATGAATTCTCCACTGAAAAGGCACTCTCTGTCAGCAAGGGTCATAGCCAGGTGATAGCGAACTCGAAGAGACCTCGACATAATTTCTATCGATGTACTATTATAATACAGGAAACAAAGCAAAAACAACAATTAACTCACTATAATAAACTATCGAGTAAAACAAGTTTTGACAAACGATACCACATGGTGGGCAGTCTTGCAAGAAGGAGAAAAGCGTGGTTTCATTTCAGCAGAAACAGAATGTTATTTGCAGCCAAGCACAGTTGGGTGACATTGCGAATGAGCAAACCATTATTTGCAGGTCACGAGGTGGTCTCTTGGCCAATGAAAGGAAAACAAATTTGTCCCCTCGACTGATTTATTGTATACATACCAAGACATACTTACTGAAAAGCTATGTCGTAAACTTTCATACCCAAATAAGTTGGCATAAATACCTTACGCGCGCACTTCCCATGAAGTTTCTACATTGGGCCATATCCACAATTTCTTATTACTATTATCTTAATTTTTCTTTTCTTCAGCTAAGAGTCGGTTTCGACTGATTTTACAGAATAATCAAATTTCTCAATGATAAAATCCTGTAATAAATTTTTTTAAAGATCCTTTGAGGAAGTCTCACAAACTTGTAATCACATATTTTTAAGGTTCTGTCATTAAACGGCAAGAACGTTCCATCAGAGATGAAGGTAATATCCAGACACTGGACTGTGCTGCAATCGAAAAAGACCGAAGCAAATTCAAGGAATTGTTTTGGAAAGTGGAAGGATCGGTTATCGGTTACTGTAACCGTAATAAATGTGGGACATCGAAAAGTTTTCTGGAAGACAAGAGGATTCAGGTGTTGGGCATTTCCAAGGGCACCTTGAGCATAAAACGCACCTTGCCACAGAAAATGACGGGTCAAACTGTGACCTTTGTTTGTGAAGTGCACACAACTGACTACGGTGACGTCCGCGTATCTGAAGCCAAGATCATTTACTCTTTAGAGTGTAAGTAAGACTATACACAGAATTATAATGATAATTGATCATGGAAATCATTAGCATTGAACATTTGGCTATACCTAGTGCAGGTTTTTTTCTTTTGGTTAAGAGTTTTGTCGTTTACAGAAAGGTATATTTTTACACGGTTAAGTTGTATTGTGTTTACAGATTTCCACCAACCAAATTATATCCTTTTCTTCTTGCTTCGGCCTTGGGTTTATTCTTAAAATATTCTTTAGTTTAAATATTCTTAAAACCTCGATTCTTCTAAAATACCGTAGACTGCTGCTGGGCTTAACAAAGTGAAACAGTGTTACGAGCGAGGGTATGATTGTACTTCTTTTATTAGAATTATAATATGCAGTGGCTCTTTAATAAAAAAAGACCCTGATAGAAGAAATTTTACATGTAAATAAAAACTGATTTTTCGTTACAAAAATAATCCGAGATAAGAGCAATCAACAGCACCTTTTTCTGGTAATAAAACTGAGATGCCTTCTTCATTCTGTCCTCTATAGAGATAGAAGTAATATACTGAATCTGTGATTGTTAATTTTAGGCCCACAAGCAACTCCGTCTCCTGAGGTAAGTATTTTTAACATTTTTCCTTTTTTCACCTCCATGAGTCCCCAGGATTCAATGATCTGTCTGTCAGGATAGTCGGCACCTGCCTCTGTCCGTTTTTTAATGCTTTTGTTTCACAAAACTAAACAAACCCCTTCGATACTAGGTCAACGGCAGCGACCCAGAGGTAAAAACCACATCAGGTACAATTGTTGGCAAGCTTGAGACGCTACCAAATGGCAAATCAGTGTATGAATATCTCGGTATCCCGTACGCTAAACCACCGGTCAACGAATTGAGGTTTGCTCGTCCAAAATCCTTTAAACCTTGGTCAGGAAAAAGGGAAGCGAAGGAGTTTGGATCGGCGTGTCCACAACCGAGCTTTGATACACCTAACTTTAAGAGGGAAATAGGAAAAGGTAAGAGGCGTATAACAGAGGGTCCCCAATAGGTTTTCCGGGATACGGGATTTCCCTAGTTTGAAGCTCAGGATTCGGGATTTTACAGCAAAATCAGGGAGGAATTCGGGATTAAAAGTATGCGCGGGAGGTGGGATGCCAAAAATAGCCCTCGGAATTACGGGATTGCTCGAAATCTTAGGTTGGGATTACGGGATTGAAGAACCCTATTGGGGACCCTCTATAACAGTATTATCGGATGCATCGAGCCAGCTTTTGAAAGCTCTCATGGACGATCTTTATCTTTAATCTTTATCGGTTAATTGCGAATAGCATAGGCTAATCGTGGCAATGGTGGGCGATGACAGATAGGTTTTGGCTGTGGACTTAAAAACGGGCAAAGAGGGAGCGATAACAGCAGTACATGGAAGACTTTTCCGCATAAGTATACATCGGGCGAAGAAAGAGTACTTATAGACACCACAAAAACGGGTAAAAGGTTGTATGTCAGACTATGGCACATTCAAAGATTCAAAGCTTAATCCGTGAATTCAACGACCGCTACGCACGGAAAGAGCATCTGCAAGTCAGGACTCAAAACATTTAAGATATGCCTTCACTTGACTCCACACTCCGTCATATTGGTTCCTTTCATTTCACGTTGCAAAAAACTTGACCCTTGTTTAGAACAAAAAAATTCCTAAAATACATACCCTGTTTGAAACACTACCCTAAATATGATTATCCTGTTTAGGACAAAGGGCAAAATGCACGCCGTCTTATTTTAAAGCCATTTATTGGTAACTTCACGTTATACGCTTTTGTATATGTGGAGTAGAAACAATATTTATCTTGGAAATCAAATCAATCGTGACGGACACACTCACATGGGATTATATACCCTGTTCAGGGCAGAGGTCAATTACCACACTCTATGCCCTGCGACATATCTTCGTATAGGCCATATAAGGGAGTACCATTACAGAAACGTGCCCATTAAAAAACGTCGCCCGTGAAAAGTGGGGTACCCATTAGGCTTTGCGAGCAAAAACGAGGTTTCAAAGACTACCGTCGTTTTCGGTCTCTTATGAACTTCATAGCGGTTAATTATTCTCACACTTTCAAAAGGCAATGCAGAAACAAAAGAAGTAGGTCAAAACAGGTTTGTAGCGCACTTCCTGTTTGAACCATCGTAATCATCATAATCATCATCATCATCATCATCACCATAATCAGCTGAGAAAAAGACGTGAGATATTAACGGTCTTCTCAAAAAGAGAGGGTAACTCCCTTACAGCAGAAATTCCCGTTGTCTTATTTTACTGATATGGATGTTTCGTTTTTGTTTTGTTTTGAATTTTTTTTTTTTTTTTTCAGAAAATGAGGATTGTCTTTTCTTGAATGTGTTTGTGCCAGCAACTAGTGGCACAGAGGGCAAGATGGCAGTGATGGTGTGGATTCATGGCACTGGTTTGGCCAGTTTCAGTTCCTCCCCTAAATTCCGTGGCTTTTCCATTGGTTCCTCTACTGAATATCCAGCTCATGTTTTAGCAGGCTACAATGATGTCATTGTTGTGACATTCAACTACAGGCTAGGAATTCTGGGATTCTTAAGCAGTGTTCCTGGGACAAACAAAACGGGAAATTACGGAATGTTTGATCAGGTAACAAGCGTCGGTGAAGAAATGTTGCATTAAATCGACTCAAGAGAGGATAAAATAAGAGCAAACCTATCACCCTTGGGAGGCACGCAAGCACGTGTTCTCGTGGCGGGCGAGGCCCGGAATTCGCAACGGTTGTAACAATATCTTGCCCCCTCCCCCTTTCCTTTGTTCTTTTGCTCTGTTGATTGGCACACCCCATTCTCCCCAATGTTCATCTTTCCGAGTGCCCGAACTCCGGGGGTGGATCTAGGGGGAGGGCGCAGGAGATGCGCACTCCTCCTCCCCTGAGAGTGCTCCTGACCACTGGTATTCTGCAAAATATGGAGATATGTATTCTCAGCAGTTCAAATTATGTTAGTGGTTAGTCAAAAGACATCTTCGAATTCGCTATTAAAATTTGTTTACGTCACCAGTCAGTTACGCCATTCCTTAGTGGTGCAACCTCTCCTAAGAAAAATCCTGGATCAGCCCCTTAACTCTCTGAACTCACTTTAAAAAGGAGGCCATGTGCAAACCTTTTGGACCTTGCAAGAGGGCGCTTAATCAAGGCTGAGGGCTTTTTAAATTTTCACCATTTTCAGCAATAGTAGTATGTTAAATTCGCAACAAAACGCAAAGATGTAACAAAGCAAGGTTTCTGTTACATACTTGAAGAAAGCTCCGTCTTCGGGAAAGTCACTTTTAGTAATCATTCTATTTTTTTTGCGGGGTTGGTAGGGGGTGGTATTTTAGTTTGAGTGGGAGGAGGGCGGGGTGGGGTGGGGTGGGCGCTTATTCGAGGTGGGCGCTAATTCGAGGTTGGGCGCTTATTCGAATAAATACGGTATTTTTCTCTACAGATTCAAGCACTGACGTGGGTCCATGACAATATTGCCTGCTTTGGTGGTGATCCCGACAAAGTGACTGTGTTTGGTCAAGGTACAGGGGCAACGAGTGTCGCTTTGCATCTAATGTCGCCTAAATCAAAACATCTGTTCCAAAGGGCCATCATGCAAAGCGGTGCAGCGTCAGCTCCCTACCTACCAAGAAAGGCAGCCAACGAGTCAGTACAAAAGCTAGCTGCTGCTGCAAAATGCCCTTTTAACGACAAGCTCATCGACTGTCTTCGTGGTAAAAGTGCTGAGGACATCATTCAGTTGCAATCTTGGATCTCCTCCAAACACGCCAAAGCTCTGATGGAACTCAGCAACCCAGTTATTGATGATGATTTTCTAGAAGAATCTACTCAGGAGCTGTATGAATATCACAAGAAAGGGAGAAAACCACCTCATTCTCTTTTGACAAAACTGTTTCCAAATGTTAAAATTATGACTGGGTTTACAACCCACGAGTCATCTCTAGATGTCATTCAAAGGCCAGAAGATGCGAGAAGCAGCATTGCAAAAACCCTCAAATATGGAAACATAGACAACAGAATTGTGGACGAGCTGGTTAAGTACCAGTACGCAGATCTTTCTGACACAAAAGCGAGAGACCGGATGATTGAAAGTGACTTTATGACTGTGGCACCAATGACTTTTGAGGCAATAGCTTTAGCTGAGGTATTCTCAGTAGCCATATTCAATACGTTGACTCATAAGCCCCCAAAATGTCTATCTCATAATGCAGGTATCAATGTTTGGACATAAGAGGGATATTCGGGCATAGGTGCGGCATTTGAACACCACAAATTTTGAACCAAACTGCAGTTTCCTTATTTCCAGAAACGGATATTTTATCAAATTTGAATTATTTTCCTGTCCAAAATCTTCCCAAAAATAAAATTCAAATCCCGCCCGACCCTCCCCCTGGTCCAACCATTCAATTTGATTGCTGGATAAATTAGTCGTTGCTGCAGTCAAATTGGTTGAAAACCTTGTATCGACGAGTAGGAATCATTTTGCTCACGCCATCGATATAACTTGGTTTTTTGGACGAAACAGATCAATTCATCCTTCAACTCAATTCCATTTCATATCCCAAAATAGTTTTTTCCTTATTCTTTTATGAGGCATTGGTTTCACGTGAAACTCATCGAAGACGCCGTAACTCTATACTTCAGTACGGCGAAATATTTTCTTTTGCAAGATTCCATGATGAAAGCAAACTGATGNATAAGCCCCCAAAATGTCTATCTCATAATGCAGGTATCAATGTTTGGACATAAGAGGGATATTCGGGCATAGGTGCGGCATTTGAACACCACAAATTTTGAACCAAACTGCAGTTTCCTTATTTCCAGAAACGGATATTTTATCAAATTTGAATTATTTTCCTGTCCAAAATCTTCCCAAAAATAAAATTCAAATCCCGCCCGACCCTCCCCCTGGTCCAACCATTCAATTTGATTGCTGGATAAATTAGTCGTTGCTGCAGTCAAATTGGTTGAAAACCTTGTATCGACGAGTAGGAATCATTTTGCTCACGCCATCGATATAACTTGGTTTTTTGGACGAAACAGATCAATTCATCCTTCAACTCAATTCCATTTCATATCCCAAAATAGTTTTTTCCTTATTCTTTTATGAGGCATTGGTTTCACGTGAAACTCATCGAAGACGCCGTAACTCTATACTTCAGTACGGCGAAATATTTTCTTTTGCAAGATTCCATGATGAAAGCAAACTGATGAAATTTATCGCCGGCTAACGTAAATGGAAGTTAGACGTTTTAACTAAAAGATAATGATCAGAAGACCTGAAAGGGAAATGGCCCACTTATATTTTCACTATAACGACATTTGACTTCAACCACTAGAACTCTTTCGTTTTAGCTTTTACTCCCGCTAAGTTTTAAACCCTAATTTGTAAAAGAAAACAACAAACGAAAGGATTCTGGAACTTACAGTGCAAATCGTGCAAATGTCGCATTAACCGTGGTCCGATTTCTCCCCATTCTCTTGGTCCATACAAATACCTGTACTTTGACCAGTCAAAAAATACCGAAGGGGCACCAACTGACTCTATTAATTGTCTCACTACTCTTTCTTCTCCAGGCTGAAAGGTCTGTTTATTTCTACGTGTTTGAGCATCGTCCTGATTTTTCAAAACTTCCCGAGTTGACAGGTGCAATCCACGGTGATGACATTGGCTTTGTATTTGGAGCACCTTTCGCGAAAATTTCACCTCTGGTAGAGTCTTTCACTCCCAGATATTCTGATATTGAGACGGGACTCAGCAGGTACATCATGAAGCTGTGGACAGACTTTGCTAAGTTTGGGTAAGAAGATCAGAAAGGCGTTTTGTCCTAACACTTTTCAGGCTTCAAAGGCGTCCCTAACTACGTTAACTTTTTTGTTGTCAGTTTGTTTGTTTGTTTGTTACAATCAGTTAAGACATTTAAGGTATGTGTAGTGCAGGAACCGTTGAGACAATGAATAAAATCCCATAGTGCATGTGTCAATGGAATGAAACTTATTTCCTTTTACACGATCTCCGTTGACAGCACCAGCAGTTGTTTATTTAAAGGTTTCAAACTAAGTTGGATACTCTTTTTCGGAGAAAGATTCACCTTTTCGGTATTCTGTATTTCTTATAAGGTATTCTATAATCATTGAAATGCGGTTACACATTTCACTTCCAATTTGGAGATATCATTTCCAGACATGATAGTCTGTTCCGAGCGTTCAGATAGTGACGTTTAGCACCAAGTCACCCTTCCCCCTCGCCGTTTTTGCTACTCACATCTGTTTGCGCCATCCCACCACCTGCAGGCCTTGAACAGGCCACGGACATGGGAGACGACAACCTCTCTTGCCTGGCAAGATGCGCGTAAAGGCAAAGGAAAACCCAAAAGTCTCTTTGGCAAGCCCTAATATGTAAAGGGGTAAACGTTCTTTTGTCGAAATGATTACGTTACTTCTTAAATGCAGATTTGTCTAATCTGGGCATGATCATAAATATAGGTTATTATAATATCGTCATTAAGTAAATGCAGACTTGTGTGATCTACGCATGATCATAAACTTAGGTTATTATCATATTGTCATTAAATGATTTTGCCTCGTTTTCAGGGATCCTACTGGCCGCGATTCTCCTGTCAAGTGGCCAAAGTTCACCAAAGAAAACCAATCCTACCTGGCCCTTGACGTGAAGCCCGAGGAAAATAATAAGTATAGAGCAAAAGAAGTGGCATTTTGGAACAACTTCATTCCAAGGATTATGAGAAAATCTAAAAAGCATTGCTCGGCATTTTAACTCCAAGGCGTCAAGTTCGTTTAACTATTGCTCAAAGAATTTTCTCTTTTTTTTGCTGGAGCAAGGGGATAGGTTGTTATAACGTCTTCCTTTGAGTAATCTTAAAAAGGGGAAGCATTTACTAGTAAACCTGGGATGAGCTCTACAAGACGATCTACATATTATGGGATTGGTGCTGCCGGGAACCTGTGACGTCATTCAACTGGCTACTATTTCGTTTTTACTGAAATTCCGCTTTACTGTTATGTCGGTGCTATGTAGTCTAGAAACTACAAATATTATTTTTGACACTTGAGGGCTTAAATGTACTACAATAATCAATCCTTCTGTTGCTTTTAGTACTGTTTTGTTTCTTCTGAACAAAAAGTGCTAAAAACTCGTAACTTTAAACAAAATTTACATGAACGTATTGCACTTATGAAGCACTTACTCGTTACCACAGTAAGCCTGACATGTGTTTAACCCAGCAAAGAAATATTAATTTTTCGCTGGCTTAAATTTTAGTAGTATTTGCATAACTTACTAGCTGTTTAAAAATAAATAAGTCAATAAATAACCAAATTCATAAGCCCCATGTAATAGTATTTCCATGCATATTTTGTCAGCTTGAAATTATTTAGTTCAATGACCTCTTGCTTCGTTAGCGTGCAAAATTTTTAAAAGAACTGTTAACGTGCGATTAAGACCTGGAGGTCAATTAACATGAACTCCTCGTTCCCTGGTGACTATTTATTCACTTTTAAACTTGATGTAAAGTTTTTGTAATAAGAAAGTGAGTAACTAACGTAGCTACAAGCAGGGTCCGGCAACGTCTCTGTTATAGTGTTGTATACTAGTCCCTTTAATAAGATAGTGTGTTTATCTTTGTCTAAATTTATTACTTTACTCTAAGTTAGTAAAGTTTATGAATTAAAGTAGGATTCAAATGCAGGGACTGTCTGTGAGTGACTCGCTAATTTTGAATTAAAACTGGAGCTAATCCCTTGGGGGGAGAGTTCTAGACCAATATTTGGGTGTACGTGAGCCGCTGTGGTTTAGAAACCCTGACCCTGTTTAGGACCAAAAAATCTTAAAATACTAATAAATCCCCGGTTAGAACAACACCTTCAATTTTGTTACCCAGTTTGTGACAAAGGATAAAATGCACGCCATTTAGTTTTAGATAAAGCAAATTCGCGCAAAAGTCATTGCTTTTGGAGTGCAAGTCAATTATCAATCAAATCAATCGAGCAAACAATGATAATTAGCACAGACTCACACGAAATTAAACCCTGTTTAGGACAGATACACAGGACATTATATACCCTGTTTAAGACAGAGAGACAAAAACCATAACCTGCCCAGCGGCACATCCATATAGGGGTGCCCCAACCCCCTCCCGCCAAGAGCTTTTCAAGAAAATGGTACAACCGTTCTCTTTTCGCTGAATTAGTTTTTGACATCTCAGTAGGTTTCTCTCAGAGCCTACGTACCAACAAACACCTCCCTAGAGTATCAACGGGTAACTAATCCTTAGTGCTGGCCGAAAGGATTGCAGAATCTGTGGAGCGAGGACATTGTTACGGAGGACTGAAAACTTTCGACCCTGCACTTATTTATGTCTAAAGTAAATACTTAACTACAATCATCGTCAAAAGTGTTGGGAAGGTTGCCTTTTTTACCTCTTCTTTTTCTTCCTCCCCCCACCCCTGGCCCAATGTTGATCAAAACGTTAATGTTTGTGCGCAGATAACTGTCGGAGACTCGCGAAGGCAGACTAAAGCCGTTGACAGTTCACATGGTATTAAAGAAAGTTAGTATACCAACTTGTTTCAAATTAGCTTTTTTTTTCATATAAAATAATCAAATTTAGCAAATTCAGCACGAAACAGGTTTCTAACGTGGTAAAGAAGCAATTCCAATGTTTAGTAATGTTAATATGATATGTCTATTTTAAAAAGTATATGACATATATTGGTTTGCCTGTGAAAGTGAAAGTGTTACGAGTTTCGTTTAATTGCTATTTTATGCTCTCCCAACAGGAAATTTGCTTCATTACACATCAGGTAGGAATGATGTTTTACATGTTTCGAGCGCCGACTACATGAATTCTCCACTGAAAAGGCACTCTCTGTCAGCAAGGGTCATAGCCAGGTGATAGCGAACTCGAAGAGACCTCGACATAATTTCTATCGATGTACTATTATAATACAGGAAACAAAGCAAAAACAACAATTAACTCACTATAATAAACTATCGAGTAAAACAAGTTTTGACAAACGATACCACATGGTGGGCAGTCTTGCAAGAAGGAGAAAAGCGTGGTTTCATTTCAGCAGAAACAGAATGTTATTTGCAGCCAAGCACAGTTGGGTGACATTGCGAATGAGCAAACCATTATTTGCAGGTCACGAGGTGGTCTCTTGGCCAATGAAAGGAAAACAAATTTGCCCCGTCGACTGATTTATTGTATACATACCAAGACATACTTACTGAAAAGCTATGTCGTAAACTTTCATACCCAAATAAGTTGGCATAAATACCTTACGCGCGCATTTCCCATGAAGTTTCTACATTGGGCCATATCCACAATTTCTTATTACTATTATCTTAATTTTTCTTTTCTTCAGCTAAGAGTCGGTTTCGACTGATTTTACAGAATAATCAAATTTCTCAATGATAAAATCCTGTAATAAATTTTTTTAAAGATCCTTTGAGGAAGTCTCACAAACTTGTAATCACATATTTTTAAGGTTCTGTCATTAAACGGCAAGAACGTTCCATCAGAGATGAAGGTAATATCCAGACACTGGACTGTGCTGCAATCGAAAAAGACCGAAGCAAATTCAAGGAATTGTTTTGGAAAGTGGAAGGATCGGTTATCGGTTACTGTAACCGTAATAAATGTGGGACATCGAAAAGTTTTCTGGAAGACAAGAGGATTCAGGTGTTGGGCATTTCCAAGGGCACCTTGAGCATAAAACGCACCTTGCCACAGAAAATGACGGGTCAAACTGTGACCTTTGTTTGTGAAGTGCACACAACTGACTACGGTGACGTCCGCGTATCTGAAGCCAAGATCATTTACTCTTTAGAGTGTAAGTAAGACTATACACAGAATTATAATGATAATTGATCATGGAAATCATTAGCATTGAACATTTGGCTATACCTAGTGCAGGTTTTTTTCTTTTGGTTAAGAGTTTTGTCGTTTACAGAAAGGTATATTTTTATACGGTTAAGTTGTATTGTGTTTACAGATTTCCACCAACCAAATTATATCCTTTTCTTCTTGCTTCGGCCTTGGGTTTATTCTTAAAATATTCTTTAGTTTAAATATTCTTAAAACCTCGATTCTTATAAAATATCGTAGACTGCTGCTGGGCTTAACAAAGTGAAATAGTGTTACGAGCGAGGGTATGATTGTACCTCTTTTATTAGAATTATAATATGCAGTGGCTCTTTAATAAAAAAAGACCCTGATAGAAGAAATTTTACATGTAAATAAAAACTGATTTTTCGTTACAAAAATAATCCGAGATAAGAGCAATCAACAGCACCTTTTTCTGGTAATAAAACTGAGATGCCTTCTTCACTCTGTCCTCTATAGAGATAGAAGTAATATACTGAATCTATGATTGTTAATTTTAGGCCCACAAGCAACTCCGTCTCCTGAGGTAAGTATTTTTAACATTTTTCCTTTTTTCACCTCCATNTGTTACAGCCTCTAAATCGTTATTTCTATTCATGTGATGTATTTATTTTATTTATTTATTTATCCTTCATTTATCTATTTATGTCAATACCTCGAGTTCCCAGGTCCAATGATCTGTCTGTTAGTAGTAATCAGCCCCTGTCTTCGTCCATTTTCCTCATGCTTTTGTTTCACGAAAAAAACCTTTTTCAGTTTCAGCCCAATGACAGCGCTCGCGAGGTAAACACCACATTAGGTACAATTGTTGGCAAGCTTGAGACGCTACCAAATGGCAAAACTGTGTACGAATATCTCGGTATCCCTTATGCTAAACCACCGCTTAATGAATTGAGGTTTGCGCGTCCAGAATCCTTTCAACCTTGGTCAGGAAAAAAGGAAGCGAAGGAGTTCGGATCAGCGTGTCCACAACCGCGCTTTGATACACATAACTTTAAGAGGGAAATAGGAGAAGGTAAGAGGCGTATAACAGTATTATATTATCGGATGTGAAAGCTCTCACGGACGATCTTTGACTTTGATCTTTAATCGGTTAATTGCCAATAGTACAGGCTAATCATGGCAATGGATGGCACGATTAGGCAGTAGGTGATGACAGATAAGTTTTGCCTGTGGACTTAAACACGGGCAACGAGGGAGCGATAACAGCAGTAGATGGAAGACTGTTGCAGACAGGTATACATCGGGGGGACAAAGAGTAATAAGAGGCATCAACAAAAGCGGGTAAAAGGTTGTATGTCTTACTATGGCACATTCAATGATTCAAAGCTTAATCCATAAATTCAACGAACGCTACGCACGGAAAGAATATCTGCAAGTTAGGGCTCAAAACGTTTAAGATATACCTTCACTTGACTCCACACTACGTCATATTGGTTCCTTTCATTTCACGTGAAAAATACTTGGGTACATTATTAAAGATGGACTAATTGAAGCACATGTTCAAGGGAGTAGAGAGGTAAGTTAGGTATTGTGCTAGGTCAAGCCCGGGGAGGAGGGGCGGGGGAGAACTTGAGCCGCTGAAAAACCATGACCCTGACAAAGAATTCCCAAAACAATACTTACTTATGTTTAGGACAACACCCGCAATTTTATTACCATGTTTAGGACAAAGGAGAAAATGTACGCCGTCTTTTTTTAGAGCCATTTATTGTCAATTGCAATAGAACAAAACTACGTTATAAGCTTTTGTATACTTGAGAAGGAACGAAATTTATCTTGCAAATCAAATCAATCGTGCAGGCAATACCCTGTTGACAGACTCACACGATATATACCTTGTTTAGGACAGAGAGGTCAAAAACCACACCCTGTCCAGTGGCATATCTTCGTATAGGCCTTAAAAGGGGATACCTCCCCGGGAGGTCAAGGCAGGTTTGTGACGCACGTCCTGTTTGAATCTTCATCGTCATCATCACAATCATCATCACCATCATCATCAACTAAGGAAAAGACGTGAGACATGTACGGTCTTCTCAAAACGAGACGGTAACTCCCTTACAGCAGAAATTCCCGTTGTCTTATTTTACTGATATGAATTTTTTTTTCTTTTTTTTTTCAGAAAATGAGGATTGTCTTTTCTTGAATGTGTTTGTGCCAGCAACTAGTAGCACAGAAGGCAAGATGGCAGTGATGGTGTGGATTCATGGCACTGGTTTGGCCAGTTTCAGTTCCTCCCCTAAATTCCGTGGCTTTTCCATTGGTTCCTCTTCTGAATATCCGCCTCACGTTTTAGCAGGCTACAATGATGTCATTGTTGTGACATTCAACTACAGGCTAGGAATTCTGGGATTCTTAAATAGCGTTCCTGGGACAGAGAAAACGGGAAATTACGGAATGTTTGATCAGGTAACCAGCTTCAGTGAAGAAATGTTGCATTAATTCGACACAAGACATAATATACTAATAGGACACCTGGGAGGCACGCAAGCACGTGTTCTCAAAGCGCACTAGCCCCGAAATTCACAACAGTTATGACAATCTCTTGCCCCCTCTCCCTTTCCCTCGTTCTTTTGCTCTGTTGATCGGCACACCCTACTATCCCCAATGTTCCTCTTTTCGAGTTCCTGAACTCCAGGGGCGAATCTAGGGGAGGGTGCAAGGGATGCCCACCCCTCCCCCTGCGAAGGGGTCCTGACAACTGGTATTGTTCTAAATATGCAGATATGTATGATACATATTCTCAACAGTTCACATTATCTTGTTGCCCAGTCAAGAGCCTTCTTCTTCGTGTTCGCTTGTGAAATTTGTTTACGTCGTCAGTCAGTTACGCCATTCCTTAGTTGTGCACCCTCTTCTAAGAAAAATCCTGGATCCGCCCCTGAACTCACAACTTTCCAAAAGGAGGCCATGTGCAAACCTTTTTCGTTTAATAATTTATTTGCATGAGAATAAACAAATCATTCTTGATATCAATGTCATCGTATATTAGAATCGCTTTAACACAGAGGCCTGAAGCATCTCGAAAAATGGCCTATAATATACTAGAAACAGTACAGACAACACCTTGGTCCTCCCAACAATGCAACAGAGCATGTCCAGGACAAGGCCGCTATGGTGTATTTAAGTGAAAGGCTAGGTTTATCTTCCTATTTTCATTTTTATTTATTTTTTTCACAAACAATAGCGAACAATCCCACCACAACAGAAGGGTTAGACTCTGGGGAAAACAAAACTAACCTTTTCCCCCTGGAGCTGACATTTAGCGTATATTTTCTCTACAGATTCAAGCACTAACGTGGGTCCGAGACAATATTGCCCGTTTTGGTGGTGATCCCGACAAAGTGACTGTGTTTGGTCAAGGTACAGGGGCAACGAGTGTCGCTTTGCATCTTATGTCGCCTAAATCAAAAAAACTGTTCCAAAGGGCCATCATGCAAAGCGGTGCAGCGTTAGCTCCCTACCTACCAAGAAAGGCAGCCAACGAGTCAGTACAAAAGCTAGCTGCTGATGCAAACTGCTCTTTTGACGACAAGCTCATCGACTGTCTTCGTGGTAAAAGTGCTCACAAAATCATTGAGTTGCAATCTTCGATCTCCTCCAAACACGCAGAAGCTCTGATAGAACTCAGCAACCCAGTGATTGATGATGATTTTCTAGAAGAATCTACTGAGAAGCTGTATGAACATCACAAGAAAGGAAGAAAACCACCTCATTCTCTGTTGAAAAAACTCTTTCCAAATGTTGAAATCATGACTGGGTTTACAACCCACGAGTCATCTCTTGATGTCATCCAAAGGCAAGAGGATGCGACCCAAGATGGTATTTCGAAAAGCAGCATTGTAAAAACCCTCAAATATGGAAACATAGAAAACAAAATTGTGGACGAGCTGGTTAAGTACCAGTACGCGGATCATTCTGACACATTAAAGAGAGACAGGATGATTGAAAGTGACTTTATGACTGTGGCACCAATGACTTTTGAGGCAATCGCTTTAGCTGAGGTATTCTCAGTAGCCATATTCAATACGTTGACTCATAAGCCCCCAAAATGTCTATCTCATAATGCAGGTATCAATGTTTGGACATAAGAGGGATATTCGGGCATAGGTGCGGCATTTGAACACCACAAATTTTGAACCAAACTGCAGTTTCCTTATTTCCAGAAAGGGATATCTTATCAAATTTGAATTATTTTCCTGTCCAAAAACTTCCCAAAAATAAAATTCAAACCCTGCCTGACCCTCCCCAGGTCCAACCATTCAATTTGATAGCTGGATAAATTAGTCGTTGCTGCATTCAAATTACTGAAGAACCTTGCATCGACGAGTAGGAATCATTTTGCTCACGCCATTGATATAACTTGGTTTTTTGGACGAAACAGATCAATTCATCCTTCAACTCAACTCCATTTTATATCCTAAAATAGTTTTTTCCTTATTCTTCCATGAGGAATTGGTTTCACATCAAACTCGTCGAAGACGCTGTAACTCTATTAATATTTCCAGTACGGCGAAACATTTTCTTTTGCGAGATTCCATGATGAAAGTAAACTGATGAAATTCATCGCCGGCTAACTTAAATGAAAGTGAGACGTTTTAACTAAAAGATAATGATGAACTGAAGGCCGGAAGGGGAAATGATCCACTTCCATTTTCACTATAACGACATTTGGCTTAAGCTACTATAACTCTTTCCTTTTAGCTTTTACGCCAGCTAAGGTTTAAACCCTAATTAGTAGAAGAAAACAACAAACGAAAGGATTCTGGAACTTACAGTAAATGAACATCATCGTGCGAATGTCGCATTAACCGTGGCCCGATTTCTCCCCCATTCTCTTGGTCCATACAAACACCTGTACTTTGGCCAGTCAAAAAATACCGAAAAGGCACCAACTGAATCTATTAATTGTCTCACTACTCTTTCTTCTCCAGGCTAAAAAGTCTGTTTATTTCTACGTGTTTGAGCATCGTCCTGATTTTTCCAAACTTCCCGAGTTGACAGGTGCATTTCACGGTGATGACATTGGCTTTGTATTTGGAGCACCTTTCGCGAAAATTTCACCTCTGGTAGACTCTTTCATCCCCAGATATTCTGATATTGAGACGGGACTCAGCAGGTACATCATGAAGCTGTGGACAGACTTTGCTAAATTCGGGTAAGAAGATCACGCAGGCGTTTTGTCCTAACACTTTTCAGGCTTCAAAGGCGTCCCTAACCACTTTAACTTTTTGGTTGTCAGTTTGTTTGTTACAATCAGTGAAGACATTTAAGGTGTGTGTAGTGCAGGAACCGTTGAGACAATGAACAAAATCCCATAGTGTATGTGTCAATGGAATGAAACTTATTTCCTTTTACACGATCTCCGTTGACAGCACCAGCAGTTGTTTATTTAAAGGTTTCAAACTAGTTGGATACTCTTTTTCGGAGAAAGATTCACCTTTTCGGTATTCTGTATTTCTTATAAGGTATTCTATTATCATTGCAATGCGGTTACACATTTCACTTCCAATTTGGAGCTATCATTTCCAGACATGATCGTCTGTTCCAAGCGTTCAGATAGTGAAGTTTAGCACCAAGTCACCCTACCCCCCTTGCCGTTTTTGCTACTCACATCTGTTTGCGCCATCCCACCACCTGCAGGCCTTGAACAGGCCACGGACATGGGAGACGACAACCTCTCTTGCCTGGCAAGGAAAGGAAGTCTCCTTGGCAAGCCCTATATGTAGAGGGGGTAAATGTTCTTTGTTGAAATGATTACGTTACTTCTTAAATGCAGATTTGTATAATCTGCGCATGAGCATAAATTTAGGCTATTATCATATCGTCATTAAGTGATTTTGCCTCGTTTTCAGGACTCCTAATGGCCCCGATTCTCCTGTCCAGTGGCCGGAGTTCACCAAAGAAAACCAGTCCTACCTGGCCCTTGACGTGAAGCCCGAGGAAAAGAAGAAGTATAGGGCAAAAGAAGTGGCATTTTGGAACAACTTCATTCCCAGGGTTATAAGAAAATCTAAAAAGCTTTGCTCGGCATTTTAACTCCAAGGCGTCACGTTCGTTTAACTATCGCTCAAATAATTTTCTTTTTTTTTGCTGGAACATGGGGGTAGGTTATAACTTCTTCCTTTGAGTAATCTTAAAAAGGTGAAGCATTTACTAGCAAACCTGGGATGAGCTCTACAGGACGACAACATATTATGGGATTGGTGCTGCTGGGGACCTGTGACGTCATTAAACTGGCTGCTATTTCGTTTCTACTGAAAATTCAGCTTTACTGTTATGTCGGCACTATGTAGTCTACAAACTATAAATATTATTTTGACACTTGAGGGCTTAAATGTATTGCAATAATGAATCCTTCTGTTGCTTTTAGTACAGTTTTGTTTCTTCTGAACAAAACGTGCTAAAAACTCATAACTTTAAACAAAGTTTACATGAACGTATTGCACTTACGAAGCACTTGTAACAACAGTAAGCCTGACATGTGTTTAACTCAGCAAAGAAATATTAATTTCTCGCTAGCTTAAATTTTAGTAGTATTTGCATGGCTTACTAGCTGTTTAAAAATAAATAAGTCAATAAATAACCAAATTCATAAGCCCCATGTAATAGTATTTTCATGTACATTTTGTCAGCTTGAAATTATTTTGCTCAATGATCTTTTGCTTCGTTAGCATGCAAAATTTTTAAAAGAACTGTTAATGTGCGATTAAGACCTGGATGTCAATTAACATGAACTCCTCGTTCCCTGGTGAATATTGATTCACTTTTAAACTTGATGATAAGAAAGTGAGTAACTAACATAGCCACAAGCAGTCTGACAACGTCTCTGTTATAGTGTTGTATACTAGTCCCTTTAATAAGATAGTGTGTTATCTTTGTCTAAATTTATTACTTTACTCTAAGTTAGTAAAGTTTATAAATTAAAGTAGGACTGAAATGCAGTGACTGTCTGTGAGTGAATCGCTAATTTTGAATTAAAACTGGAGCTAATCCCTTAGGGGGAGAGTTCTCGACCAATATTTGGGTGTACGTGAGCCGCTGTGGTTTAGAAACCCTGACCCTGTTTAGGACCAAAAAATCTTAAAATACTAATAAATCCCTGTTTAGAACAACACCTTCAATTTTATTACCCAGTTTGGGACAAAGGATAAAATGCACGCCATCTTGTTTTAGATAAAGCAAATTCACGCAAAAGTCATTGCTTTTGGAGTGCAAATCAATTATCAATCAAATCAATCGAGCAAGCAATGATAATTAGCACAGACTCACACGAAATTATACCCTGTTTAGGACAGATACACAGGACATTATATACACTGTTTAAGACAGAGAGACAAAAACCATAACCTGCCCAGCGGCACATCCATATAGGGGTGCCCCAACCCCCTTCCGCCAAGAGCTTTTCAAGAAAATGGTACAGCCGTTCTCTTTTCGTTGAATTAGTTTTTGACATCTCAGTAGGTTTCTCTCAGAGCCTACGTACCAACAAACACCTCCCTAGAGTATCAACGGGTAACTAATCCTTAGTGCTGACAGAAAGGATTGCAGAATCTGTGGAGCGAGGAGATTGCTACGGACGACTGAAAACTTTTGACCCTGCACTTATTTATGTCTAAAGTAAATCCTTAACTAGTTTAAAATTTCTACAGCGGAATAGGGGAAAATGCTTGAAATTATACGATGATAATAAAATGTTCAGAAATAAATAAATAAAATATACAAGAAATGGCCCTCAAAGAGGAAAACTGGGACACTAAGAAAAATCTTGAAAACCCAATAAATACTTTCTCGTCTCGTCTCGTCCCGACCAAAACCCTTCAAGTAAGAGCCAACTTTCAAAACACAATCGGACAGCAACTGGAAAATGCGTCTTAAATGACCTCACAGCGGCAACAGCAACGTCGCTTTGCGAAGCAACATTTTCTTCCCATCCCTGAGAGCAAAGTTGGTCGCAATGGTACAAATTAAAGAAACTCTTATTGTTAAGGTCCATCGACACTATTTACTGAGATATAAACGAGGGGTTTAAAATGACGGCTTAAAGCTATAGCAGCAACAGCAACATCGCGCCTCCATGCGACTTTTTCTTTCCGTCCCCGGGAGCCTTGGTCGCCATGGTTACAATCAAAGAAGCCAGGGATCTTATTATTAAAGAATATCGACATCATTTAGATATAAACGAGACGATAGAAAGTCTAGAAATGCAAGGGAAACGTTTTGGGACGCCAGCAGTCAAATCCAAGCTGAAAAGAGTTTATTTGATGCTTTTATGTTTAGTGAGAGGTTCAAAGAGGGATTGTTAACAAGAGGCAGGGGCGATTTCTAGCGAAAGTCAAAACTTAGATGACTTCACACTACAAGTAAGACGTTCTCTGTCTCAAGTCCATGTTCCTGCATGGTGTAATGTAGTTTTTGAATTAAAACGTTCATGATCAGTTCGAATAATTAGAAAACAATTAAGAAGTTGTAATTTTTCTTTTTCTGTGATTCACAGGATGCCGTATTTTAAAAAAATTCAAGAACTTTCAAATGAGAAACTTGACTAGCGTGTTTGAATAGGCTTATTAGGATTATTGGGTGATCAAGAGCCGACGACTTGAGACGTTTAACAACGTGAGAGATATGACAATCACTAGAGACCAGGTTTTTGCAGCCTTTGTTGTTGGAGAGCTGTTGACTGCAAACAAACAATTGAAATCAATGAATTTTATATCAACCTCTCGGGGCATCTATCTGTTAATAACCCCTAGGGCTCTTATATAAGACCTGGGTGATGGATAAGTAGAGCAAAGTGATGATGAAATGAAATCAAAGAAAGACTATCGTCAACTCGTGGGTACGTTGTTTAGAAAATAATCAAGTAGTTATCACCTCTGGTTTTCCCACAGTGAATTTTAGGAAATGATAGAAATTCAGATTATAAATATACTATCCTTGTTCTGGAAACACAATACTTTTCTTGCTGTTTATTGCACTTTAGTAACAGTTATTTAAGTATATATTTAAAAACAAAAAAACAAAAAAAACAGCAAAACAAATAGGCAAACAAGACAAAACAAAAAAGAAAAAAAAAGGGAAGAAAG